GTTTGGCCCGAATTAAGCTTAATTTAGGCCGAAAATTGAAATTACACCCCTGCGCGTTATTTCGCGGTTATACGGTACATTTAATGTCACGTGATATTCGGCACGTTCAAATCACGTGATATGGTAGGTGTCTGTAATAGGGTTGTGGGCACAGGGGCATGGGTATGCCCTTTGGGGCATGCCTTGGAACCAAAGGGCATGCCTAAATCACATGATACAAAGCAATTACTCCTATTGGCTAAAAATTATTAACTATTAATATTATATATTTTATTATTTTTTTTCTGTTACAATATATATATAGCTATATTAAAATACAATTAGAATCAAGAATTTAAAAATCCATTGGTAATTTGTATCAAATATACAAGACTTTCAAAACCCCAATACTTTGTATTGCCCTTTAATAATATTTAATATATATATCATATTTGATAGTTAACTCATCTATTTTAAAATTTTTAATAATCTTTTATTTATAAGAGTATATGGAAATTTTACCAAATTTTGGCATAAACCGATTTCAATATAAGCTGCTAACAATTAATTGAATACGAAAGCTTATAGTTTTTTTTTGGCCTTATAAATAAAAATGCTCGCAAATCTTAACCAAATCATCAAGTATAATACTAAGATTCAAAAAGACTAATATATAGTATTTTTAATACTAATATTAACTTGCGAAATGCTATGGTTGCAAATGTAAGTTTATTTAAAGCTTGCACATTTGTACTTATAGTTTGTTAGTATATGCTAAAATTTAACCAAGATCGTTTAGTAGTACATTTGTTAGCTTCAAAAAAAACAAAAGACAGAAATCTCAACCTTTAAATAATTTTCTTTTTGAACAGTTATAATGCTTTCTTAACTTCCAATACATATAATAACTAATTCATTTGCTTACCTATTTATTATATAACTAAAACCGCATTTCTCTTAATTGATAACATCTAATCCAATAATCAATATATATTTCGTAGTTCTGCAATTTATAGATTAGCTTAAATAGTTTTATGTAGTATTTAATCATTATCATAAAAAACTATTTCAAAACCATTGTCTTTAAATATCATTTAACTAAACCGGAAACCAAAAGTATCCATATCTTATACAACATGTAAGTAACACTGCATCTTTTTGAATAATGAAGCTTCTTGTTCTTCATCATATTGATCTATATGCAGATTGGTTTCAATATTTTAAAATAACACACATAGGCATACCAGAAATAATGCACAAATGACATTATCTTGCGTCATATTATACTAATATAGTGATAGATTCAATTTCTAATATGGTAATAGATTCAATATCTAATATGGTAATAACAGATTTAATGTTAATAAAATGGTTTGAATTGGCAAAAGAAAAGAAAAATTATTTTGCTTGTATTTTTTTCTTCTAATAAATTATAGATTCTCCCACAGGCTTCGCTAATATACTTCCTAACCAAGGCAAACGATGGACTGGATTTTGGTGTTCTGATGACAAAAAAACTAGAAACAGGTATATTGCTAAGTGTAAATATTGTTTGGTTGAGCTTGAAGGTAAGCCTGATAGGCTTCACCAACATGTTATGAGATGTAAAAGCTAGCCAGTTACGGAAAGAGCAAACTACCTTAAAGAAGCTTCTAAACAAGCGATTCCAGAACGTAAGAGAATTAAATATGGCCAAGATACTATTATAGCTGAAGAAACTGATGATGATCAAGAAGAGTTTCTTTTATCTGCATTAACAATAAAATCTACAAAACAAGAAAGTATTATGAACTGGGTCAAACCTATATCCCATGAACAATCTGAAAGACTTCACAAAAAATTCTTAAACGCCATTATCTATGGCAATATTTCTTTTAACATTACTAAAAATCTCTATTATCAAGATTTTCTTCAAGACCTAGCACCCAGTTATATACTTCCTTCCAGATTTATACTACAAGGATGCATTTTGACAAAAATGTTTTCTAATTTCTTTCAAAAAAAGCTAAATGCAATGCCAATCTTTACTGATGCTACAATTTGCTTGGATAGATGAATAGATGTATCCGGAAACTCTATATATAGTTTCATAGTTTTAAAAGAGCAACAAGAACACATAATTGATATTATTGACTTATCTGCTAAACAGCATAGAGAATCCTTTATTAAAAATCAAACAAAAGAAATTCTTATAAGAAATGGGTTTCAGATGTCGTCTGCTATTGTTTGTGTCACTGACAATCCCTCGGTTATAGAGTTGATGAAAAATCTTCTAGAGATATAGTGACAAACGTAGTTAAAATTCTAAAAAAAAAATAAAGTTTCTTACAAATTATATATAAGTTATCGTGCAAACTCTTATGATCATAGATTTTTTTCTTCTTGTTATTTATTGTACATTATTACATAAGCACAACAATCTTGAATTAAAACTCAGTTAGCCAATAATGACTTGTAAATCATGATCATAATTGCACAATAACATCGATATTGGATCATGCGATGATAAATATTATAAAATTTGTTCTTGCAGAACATATAGTTGGCTGAAATATGCCGCTGCGCGGCACATGTCAGCCAACCATTTGCTCTGACAAAACAAATTTCATGATATTTATCATTGCATGATCCAATATCTCATAAATAATTATATCTATTTCTTTGAATTATCTAAAAATAACATAATGCGAAAATAAATTATATAGGTAATTTCTAGAAATAGATATGATTACTAAATATATAGCTCTCAATTATTAAATGTAAAATAGACTTGAAAACTCTTAATAATTCTAGATAGTATGTATGTTTAAGTAAATACTATTATTTAGTATAGTTAAAAGGATACAAGTTTGCTAATTAATTTCGATAGTTTTAAGTTTCGGATCATAAATCTTATTGCAATATGCTTAAACCTAAAGAGAAAAAAAGCGCATTAGTAAAAGCTTTTAAATATCGGGTGTTTTTTTTTTTTGCTTAATCCTCTGGATCAAGTTACTTTTGCTATATATCGAATTATTGTAATTATATATTTTTTCATTTTTATAAGAGGAACATCCAAATATTATTTCTATTAGGTGTTGTCTTCATGCTTTTAACTTGATCGTGAAAAATATTGCCAGATTTGCCAACATAGCCCCTATTTGCAAAAAAAATCAGAAGCTTGTGAATTTCTTCATAGCTTCACATATATGGCTTCGGGTTCTAAAAAATTGGCAGAAAGAAAATGGCATTCCTCATTTTTTGACTACTTTTTGTGAGATGAGATGGTATTCTCTTGCCAAGGTCTGTTTGGGTGTGTCCGTCTTTGAAAGGGGTTTTCAGCACTGCCTCAAGTTAAGCGAATCTAATAGAAATAAATATCCAAAAATCAAAGATGAAATAAAAGTTATAGTTAATGACAGGTATCATTTTGCTAGTAATGATACACTAATTAAAGTGATAAAACCTGTCGTTGATGCAATTGGAAGACTCGAGTCAAGAGAAGCAACTCTGGCTAACGTTTTTAAAGAACTAATCTACATTCACTTGGAAATAACTAAACTTGACATCCCTATCTCTGGTTTTAAAACCCACGCACTTACTGTTATTAGCAAAAGGGCAAGGGAATTCTCCAAAGATATTTACTTTATTGCCTTGTTTCTTTCGCCAATTTATAAAAATATAGCCATCTCAAGACATATGAACAAAGAACGCCTTATATATGAATGTTTGAAGCTAGCAAAAGTCTGGAAATTTAATCAAATAGATACTAGCTCCCTTTACAAAGAATTAATTAATTAAAAAATAATGATCCCCCATTTAAACACTTTTCTAAAGACTTATTACAAAAACCTCTTCGATTATTCTGGACAGAATTTATTGAAAATTCACCTTTTCTTCATCGGTTTGCTGTAAAAGTTCTTGCAATTGTTCCTCATACTAGTGCATGTAAACGCCTTTTTTCTTCTTTAGGTCTTATAAAAACTAAGTCCAGGAATCACCTTTCACCTGATACACTTTCCAAGCTTGGACAGATCAAAAATGAACTTCAAAAGGCTATATCAAAAAAACAAATAAGCAAACAAAAATCATTCGAGTTTAGGGTTGTTGAAAAAAATATAGATATATTTTTTGAGGAAGAACAGGATAAGATAGAGAAAGGGCAAGATAGATACAATGATATTAATGAGGATATTGATGTGATCAATATAGAATATGAGGAGAATTCTATTATGGATGAATTTTTTGATTTTGATGTATTCGAAAGAGAACAGAATACTTTTTTATATGATGAGAAGTATGATAATTTCGTACCACAAAATGATATTGAAGAAGATTGGTCCATCGACGATATTATTGCTCAAAATAAATAGATTTTCTTGAGTAATAATTTATATTAAAAAAACATTATATACTATATAAATAACTTTACCTCTATTAAACATTTTATAGCCAATATTTTTTTTTACAGTATAGATCGTTGTATTATATTATTAAATATATCAAAAAAACTTTTTTGAAAGCTTATAAATTTATACTTTGAAACTTTAGGACTTATAACTCAAGTAATTAGTTTCTTTTTGATAATTTTCAATCGAAAAAAAAAGCACTTGTACAGTAATTCTAAAGAACATGCTAAAAGTTCTGTGAAATTTTGTTGGCCGATTATGCTATAATTTTAAATAATTTGATTGGTCAATTATCTATCATGTGACTATACAGGGGCATGCCTATAGGGCATGCCTATTTTTTTACCCGTGCCCACAACCCTAGTCTGTAACCAGATGGTCTACGGGCATGTACCAAATCATGTAATTTTGCACATACTGAATATCACGTGATATAAATATACGTAAGTTATCAAAATAGAATTTTTCTTATATTTTGGTCAAATTTTCTCGACAATTAACTAACAGAATTTAATGAAATTTTTTTTAAATCAATTCTATAAATTACTAGGATTTATTTAAAAAAATTTTCATCAAATTCTATCAAGTAGTTGCCGAGAAACTTTGATTCAAAGTTTGAAAAATTTATATCACCTTAAAAAAATAGTTTTGCAAAAAATTTCTAAACTTTGAATAAAATTTTCTCAACGCCTATCTGATAGAATTCGATAGAATTTTTTCAAATAACCTCTACGAGTTAATAAAATTCATTTAAAAAAATTTTCATCGAATTTTAACAGGTGTTTGTCGAGATAATTTTGTTCAAATTTTAGAAAAATTTTTACCACCTCTTAAGAAAATAGCTATGACAGAAATTTCCCAAACTTTGAACGAAAATTTCTCGGCAACTACATGATTGAATTCAATGAAATTTTTTTTAAATAAATTCTGTTAAATATTAGAATTTATTAAAAAAAAATTTTATCAAAATCCATCAAGTAGTTGTCGAGAAATTTTGTTTAGGAAAATTTCTGTCATGGTTATTTTTTTAAGGGACGATGAAGCTTTTTTCAAAATTTGAATGCAATTTTCTCAACAAACACTTGTTAAAATTCGATGAATTTTTTTAAAATGAACCCTATTGACTTGTAGATGTTATTTAAAAAAATTTCTATCGAATTCTATCAGGTAGTTGTTGAGAAATTTTCATTCAAAGTTTAGAAATTTTTTGCAAAACTATTTTTTTTAAAAGTGATGCAAAATTTTCAAACTTTGAATCAAAGTTTCTCAGCAATTACTTGATAGAATTCGATGAAAATTTTTTTAAATAAATCCTAGTAATTTATAGAATTGACTTTAAAAAAATTTCATTAAATTCTGTTAGTTAATTGTCGAGAAAAGTTGACCAAAATATAAGAAAGATTCTATTTTGACAACTTACATACGTTTATATCACGTGATATTCAGTACGTGCAAAATCACATGATTTGGCACGTGCCCGTAGACCGTCCGGTCTGTAACTACCCTAGATCGCTACCAACTTTTCAAAATTTTCACCTGCATGTGATTTTAAACCAACCACATTTCAAGATTAGGTGTAATATTACACGATTAGGAAAAATCAAAACAAACATTTGCTTTGTCAAAAATCGCTTGTAACTCAAAATGTAGTATAAGAAACCACCTTTAGTGCTTTAACAAAAAGTTTTTCTTGAGCAATTTTACCTATAGCTCTCTCTAACCCTAACCCGAACTCTAACCCTAACCCTAACCTAAATGAACTTAAAGAATTTTTCAGTGTGCTACACATAATCATGTGCCAGTGAAAATGTTGGTGGCGATCTAGGGGAAGATCGTGTCTGTAGATTTGGCACCGGGAAAGTCTCCAGACACAACTCCTACAGGGAGAACCCAAAATTCCGGGCCGGAAGCTTCAGAACTCTGGTCGGAAGGGCCGGAATTGATCAATTTTACCCAAGATCACCAAGAATTTTACTAATGAAACAATAGTTGTTTATTAAGTGAAAAGTGCCCAGCTGATAATTTTACTATAGCCTATAGCTCCCGCTAACCCTAACCCAGCCCTAACCTCGACCCTAACCACGACGCATTCCGGCCATTACGACCCGGAAATTTGGGGATCCCCCTGTAGAAAATTCCAGGCACATGCTGTTCATGTGATTTTGCACCTACCGATTACCGGACATACCAATGTAATAAACAAATTTGAACCTTCTAGCAACGATTTCTCAATAACTACTCGATTAAATCCAGTAAAAAAATATTATATTATGATTCTATAGTATAGTATAGTTAAATAAAAAAAATATTATTGATTTGGCTTAGTAGCTGTTGAGAAATCATCGCGGAAAGATTTAAAAAAACTTTAAATATCAAAATCGGATAGATTTTTTGTCTTTGAAATTTAAATAACGATTTCTCGACAACCAACTATCCAAATTTGAAGAAATTTTTTTATTTTAATTCTTTGGGTTCATAGAATAAAATAAAAAAAATTCGATCGAATTTGAATAGCTGGTTGTTGAGAAATAAAAGAAAAATTTAGCCGCAGCTTCTTTTAAAGACATCAAAACTTTGAGCGAAGATTACTTGGCACTTAACTGGTCAAATTCGATCAATATTTTTTTTCATTATAATTCTGAGTTAATAAAATTGAAATAAAAAATTTTGATCGACTTTGGCCCGGTAATTGTCGAGCTATCTTCGTTCAAAGTTTAGGCGCCTATAAAAGAAAGCTGTGGTCAAATTTTTTTTAGCTTTTAATAAATGTTTTTCGACAACCAGCTATTCAAATTCGATCAATTTTTTTTATTTTAATTCTATGAACACATGGAATTAAAAAAAAAAGTTTCATCAAATTCGGGCAGTTGGTTGTCAAAAAATCGTTGTTTAAAAGAAATTAAAGAAAAAAGAAATGTTGCAACAAAATTTTTATTCAAATTTTAAATGAAGATTTCTCAAAAACTAACTATTCAAATTTGACGATTTTTTTTTTTTTAATTCCATGAGTTCATAGAATTAAAATAAAAAAAATTGATCGAATATGAATTGCTGGTTGTTGAAAAACATTCATTAAAAGCTAAAAAAATTTGTCCGCAGCTTTCTTTTTATAGGTGCCTAAACTTTGAACGAAGATTGCTCGACACTTACCTGACCAAATTCCATCAATTTTTTTTTATTTCAATTATATAAACTCATAGAATTATAATGAAAAAATTTTATCGAATTTGACAGGTAAATGTCAAGTAATCTTCGCTCAAAGTTTTGATGCCTATAAAAAATAAGCTGCGGCTAAATTTTTCTTTAACTTTTAATGAATATTTCTCAACAACCAGCTATTCAAATTCGATCAATTTTTTTTATTTTAATTCTATGAACCCAAAAATTAAAATAGAAAATTTGGATAGTTGGTTGTCGAGAAATCGTCATTTAAAGTTTAAAGATAAAAATTTACCCGATTTGATATTTAAAATTTTTTTTAATCTTTTCGCGGTGATTTCTCAACAACTTGAACCAAATTCAATAATCTTTTTTTATTTAACTCCACTATACTATATAACTATAATAAAATATTTTTTTACCGAGTACTAGAAGGTTTAAAAAAACTTTCGAATTTATTAATAGGAACAATTTTGTTTGTTATACCGGCAATCGGCAGGTACAAAATCACGTGAACATAGATTTTCTGGTTGCTCTGATATAGAATATCACGTGTATTATGGCCATTTTATTTTTGGCTAGCTCCAAGTAATACATCATACAATTTTTTATTTTTTATTTTGCTAAGCTTATATATGTTTTTTATCTATTCTAACTTATTTGGGCCATTCTATTTTGGCAAACAGTTTACGCTGAAGTAACTTTGCTATTCTATAATAAGGGCGGCCCACTTATATATTAATCTAGAGTAGAATTCAATCCGGAAAAATCATTGATCGACCAATCAAAATTGCGGATTTGAAACTGGTAGAAAAAAAATTTTTTAATATACATGTTGTAAGTAGGAATGGAATCGGAGTCCACTTAGATTAGAGTGGAATAATATACTAAAAATTCCAACCTTAACCTGAATCAACTTGAATTTTGTACCCACTTTCTGTACGACATATGTATTTAATTTAATTTTATTATTATTACTAGATATTAGACCTGTCATTACACGACAGGTTAGATTTTAACATCTCTATTACCATACCCTGCAGGATAATCAGCGTTTCCAAAACTTCCTTGCATAATACACGAAATGTAAAAAGAAGACAGCAGTCATGTGAGCTTTAGCCAATCATCGGTGTAACATGAGACCAATAATTTCAGTAAATAAAGCGAAATAATCATTCTAACAGCTCTTTGAGAACTAAAACCATTCTAACATCTCTTTACGATTAGTGTTTGGATGAGAACTAAAATCATTCTAGCATCTCTTTATGGTTAGTAGAGTTCCAATCCGATCATCTGAATTATCCGGATCGCTCAGATATCCGGGTATCAATAGTAAACCTGAATAAATTCAGATCCAGATATCTGATAAGGCCTGACCAATTTAATTTGGTGGTTTACATTCCTTTCTCAAAAGATGAGGGAGTGAAAAATGTACCAACGTAGTAAATTTTAATAAAATTAATCGGAAATTATCGGCTTGTCTTTTATGTTCGTTCATTTTTCGGATCCTAAACCTAATTCCGCCCGGCATTATGCTCTCCGGCCAAAATCATATAATATATACAGTCAGACCTCTCTAAGTGCATATCGTTGGGGCCAGCTCTGAGATATGCATTTAGAGAACACTAATAGAATTATAGTATATATAAGTCACGTGTTAAAATTATCTTGTATAAGATTATATAATCTTGATTTGATTGGCTAATAGTCACGTAATGTGTTTATAGAGGGGCACGTCTTGAATGTGTGCCAGGTTAGTGGCGCAGTCAGCCACATCTAACGCGTGATATTAAGTTGGATAATTAAAAAAAAGTTGCCAAATTTAATTTCACAAGTTTAGCAATATAAAAATATGCACAAGTTAAAAATAAATTCAGTTACAATATTTTTAACTCATAATTCAATTCAATTGATTTTTTGCAACGTTCCCACCCAAATTATGTTCTTTTTATTAACTTTTCGTTTTTTTTAGGATGGAATAGTTTGAGAATCAACATTTTCTTTC